TTTTGCCAGGTGCGCGCCGTCGACCGCACGATGCCGTTCCGCAGGTAGAACTTCGCCAAAACCTCCGGGGCAAAAGTTCGCACGCCTCCGCAGAGTTTCGCACAACTCTGCAACTTCGGTCGATCAGCTCGACATCGCTCGGTCGAACAGCATTCGTCGAGCAGAGCTCCTCGACCCAAACTCTTCAACCAGAGTTCCTCGACCAGGATCGTCGATCAGCGCTCGTCGACCAGAGCTCGTCGCGCCGAGCTCGTCGACCAGATTCTGTCGAGCAGAGCCTGCTCGACCGCAACTTCCGTCGAACTGCAAAAACTCACTTCTTCGACCAATCCATCGAGAACTTCCCGTCGACGGCGAGATCGGCTGCGAGGGCAGTGCCTTTCTCGTCGACACTTCCCTGCCGCGCTCACGCTTGGGCACCCCACACACTAGGTCTACCCAGAACCCAAGGGATAGAATACAAGAAGAAAATTTGTTTGCGTGCACCTAACATATAGCATGCAGATCACTGCACCAGCCATGCAGAAGGGCACGACACCTACTGCCGCACTTGGACGATTGCGACGGAGCACCGGTTGAAAGCCGGAAAATGCAGCGCCTTCGACAGAAAGTCCGCTGGCTGGTGCACCCGGTCGGCGAAGCAGGCGACGCACCGAGTCTCCCCTCATCGTCGGCGGCCGACGAGGATCCCTGCACAAGAGTGTCGACGACGGGCGGGGGAGGGGAGGGCGACGGAGTCGCCGACGGGGAAAGAGTGGGGAGAGGGACTTCTTCGACGTCCTCGTCATCATGCTCGTCAACTCCGGCAAGCAATGGAGGCATCGTCAAGGAGGAATCTGGCGGCGGGGCAGATGGCGTCCTTGTCGTCGCCGACCCGTACTCTGCCTTCCACTTCTCCATCGACAGGTTCTCGCAGAAGATCGCTTCGACCGTCGTGATGACTCTGTTGTTTGTCAGATCGAGCACCTCCCAGCCCTTGCTCTCTGGCGACACTCCGAGATGAAGACCCCAACGAGCCTTCGGTGCCAGCTTTCTGCCGCACTGCCGCTCGGGGACCATGAACTGCACCATGCAGCCCGAGACGTGCGCCAGCGTCAGGTCCGGCTTCTTCTCGAACAGCAGCTCGTACGGCGTCAGCCCCCAAGGCAGTAAAGCCCGTTCGAGGCAGTTGCGCACCCAGACGGCCTGTCGAAGAGCGAGGTGCCACCAGTGATGCTTCACGCCCATGTGCAGAAGCATCGTTCGCACGGCCTCGACCACCGTGCGCATCTCCCGCTCTGCCATGCCATTCTGCTGCAAAGTGTAGGTGCACGTCAGATTGTGGAGGATGCCTTTGTCCTCGACGAGGTCGGTAAAAGCGCGACCGAGGAACTCCCCTCCGCGGTCAGAACACAGTATCTTCACCGTCTTTGAAGTCTGCTGCTCCACAACTTTCAGCCACTTGTCGAAGGCGACGAGCACGTCGCTCTTCTTCGCGATCGGCCTCACCCACACTTAACGCGTCTTCCTATCTTTCAAAAGCAGGAAGTAGAGGCTTCCGTCGGTGGCAACCACTCGAAACAGTCCGCATAGATCAATGTGAACCACATCAAGCGCGTGCTCTGCATCTGCAACTTGTCGGGGAAGGTGTCATGCGCAAGCTTGCCGCCGACACAGGAGGCACACGACATATCATATGCGGTCGACTTCTTGATGTCCAGACCGATGGCGATCTCATGCTTCGCCGAGCTCTTAATCGTGTCGATGCCGACGTGTGCAAGGCGCGCGTGCCACTTGCCCGGGGTAGACTTCGTCGTCGACGCGATCGTCCGCAGAGCCACAACCTCCGTCGAAGTCGTCGCCGACTTCGTCGAGCAGGGGCGCAGGTCCGTGCAAAGCAGCGTGCGCGACCAAGGACATCGCCGGCAGAAGACACCAGCAGCATCTCTGCGCCATCGTCTTATAGCTTCACGTCGTTCCCCTTGAGCTGGCCTGCAAACAGCAAGTTCGCCTGGCCAGTGACGACTTCCCACCAAACCCTCCGGCGGACTTCCCACGCTGCCACTGTTGACGTCCCTGCTTCGTCGGAGCGACGTAGTTAGCCTGCGGAAGGAGCTCTGAAGACCGCTCAGACTCCTGCATGAACTCATCCTGGATGATGTGACTCGAAAGCGAATCCTCGTTCAGAGTCTCGCGCGTGCCGGGCATTATCAGCATCCGTCGCATCAGATTGTAGCTCGAGGGGAGGCCATTGATGACATGCATTACATACGACGCCACCGAGTACTCGAAGCCAGCCATCTGCATGTTGACCAAGATTCGTCGCGCTCGATTGCAGTACTCGGTCGCCGATTCCTGCTCGCCCATGCGAATGTTGGCCAATTTCTTCTCCAGTTGGCTAGTGTAGAGGTCGTCGGTCGCTTTGTAGGTGCGCATGATGTACTGCCACGCTTGGTAGCCGGCGTCCACTCGAAGTCGGCACGCCTTCAGCGCGACTTGCACCAACGGCGATCAGCACCTCGAAATGACCATGAAGGTCAGAAGATGAGCAGCGCGAAATTCCGCCCAGAGTTCAGAGTCGTCTGCGTCCGGCGTCTCCACATTTCTGTCGACAAACTTCTTCAATCCGACGACCTCCAACTCCGGTTCAATTGATTCAATCCATGTGATCAAGTCATGTCGTCCTTCGAGCGGCTTCGGCACAGCGATCTTGTCCGGCGAAAATTTGAAGTAGCCGTACGCTGGCGCGATGCCTCCGTCGCGACCAGCCGACGCATGAGTCGCCGATGTCGGCCTGGCTCCACTCACACCATCGAGGAGAAAGGCATCGACCATTGATGTTGTCGTTCGAACTTCCCGCTGCCGTCGAGCGCCGAAATCGCGCCTGCATTCCGCCGACACCGACGTCGGCGACCCGAATCACTCCACGAAGCCTCGTGCTGCCTTCGCTGCCGACTTGGTTACCACCATCGGCCTGGTCGTCAACGCCACCTTCGTTGCGTGCCGGTCGGGGAATGGCGAGCAGACCATCGTTGGGTGATCGCGCAACCATTGCACGTGGGTTCCAAAGTGAAGAACATCCAAGTTCGCTCCGCCGTACTCGCCAGCTGCGTGGCGTGCCCGAATGTTATCTAACCGCGCCTGCAGGGTGTCTTCTACACTTGCAGCGACCTCTTGGTCGACCATGGCGGTCTAGGACGCTGCCGACCTACAACAACTTAGGTAACTAACGAAAATATTGGCTAATATAAAGGTCGCGTGTTCGATCCACGCTCACCGCACCATGCGGAGAGTCACTACACAACGGGAGTGGACTACGGAGGAGGGCACGGGGTTGTGCGAGTGATCGTAGTGTTCTGCTAGCGTTCTTGCTCCTTGCTTGTGTTCAAAGAGAAGTTTTGGCAAGGAAATCACTAAGGAAATTGAAAGAACAACTTGCAATGAAAAGTTGATTGAAAAGATTAGAGTACAATTGAGGCATGCAGAAGGATATGACTAGAATGGCATGCAACACCTAGCAAGGGCGAAATCTGCCAGCGCAGCAGAAGAGTGGCTTGTCAACGTTGCGGCAGAGTAGTCTGCCAGCGTTGCACTGCGCGCGGTCCGTCAGCACTGCAGTTGCATGTGACTTTCCGTAGTCGCAGGTAACTATCTGCTATCGCAGATTGTCTATCTGCGCAGATATGTGCACCTACCAAGTAGGTGCAGGTTGACGGTTTCACCGCCAGGCACATTGCACAGGTGCCAGGTAGAAAACGTGTCGTCGGTTTCGCCAGGTGCGCACCGTCGACCACGTGATGCCGTTCCGCAGGTAGAACTTCGCCAAAACCTCCTGAGCGAAAGTTCGCACGCCTCTGCAGGGTTTCGCACAACTGTGCAACTTAGGTTGATCAGCTCGACATCGCTCGGTCGAACAGCGTTTGCCGAGCAGAGCTCCTCGACCCAAACTTTTCAACCAGAGTTCCTCGACCAAGATCGTCGATCAGCGCTCGTCGACTAGAGCTCGTCGCGCAGAGCTCGTTGACCAGACTTTGTCGAGCAGAGCCTGCTCGACCGCAACTTCCGTCAAACTGCTGAAGCCCACTTCTTCGACCAATCCGTCGAGAACTTCCCGTCGACGGCGAGATCGGCTGAGCCCAAGCGAGGGCGGGGCCTTTCTCGTCGACAAAGACGAGCGGGTAGACCGCCAAGAAACAGAGCTGGATCCAAGGCTGAATGTGTAGCCCTGTGATGACCGCTGCGTAGCCAGGTTGTCAACCCAAGACGCGTCCGAGTGTCCAGTGAGAACAACTTGACTCCGTCCTCCAAGCACGAGCCCCATGCCCGATGTACTACACAAGTTAGCAGCATAACACCCTTTTAGCAGCCTCCCAGTGCTCTCGTCGGTGTCTTCCGGACGCAACGTAGCGTGCCAGGATGCTAAGAGGGTACGCAAGGTCAGGTCGAGTGCAGGTCATCAGGTACATGAGGCAGCCCACAAGCTCTGAATACGGGCCACTTGGCACTAAAGACTCGTTTGAAGGTGGAGCGGAGAGCGAGTGACCGGTAGGCAGAGGAGTGGACTGTGGCGAGGACCAAGTGAAGCCGAAGCGCTGAAGGACCTGCTGCACCATGTGTGACTGAGTCAGGGTGATGGTGCGTCGTGCTCTGTCCCGGGTGATCTGCAAGCCAAGATAGCTGCGCAGCTCACCCAAGTCTGTGCACGTGTGTCTCTTCTGCAGCTCCGACTTCACAAGGGCGAGTGCCTCACTGGTAGCAGTGGCAAAAACCAAGTCGTCGACGTACACGAGGATGTAGAACGGCGGCAGTGAAGTAACGGTGCGGAGAACAGGCGCGGCAGGATGAGACGCAGGCTCACGGGGCTCTGTAAGCGAGTCTGTCTGCGCAGGGTAAGGAGAAGGAGCAGGCAGTGGGGAGCCTAGCTGTGACGGGAGGCCAGTAAAAGACGGGAGGCTAAGAACCTGGCGAAGCACGGAGTCAGGCGGTGGCAGAGACGACGGTGACGGCGGAGCGAAGAACAGTCACTGCTGTGCAGTACCACCAGCACCAGTACCACCAGCACCAGCACCTCCAGTACGAGTACCAGCAGCCCCACCGTCTCCAGCAGCTCCAAGACCACCAGCTCCAGGGCCTCTAGCTCCAGCGCCTCCAGCTCCAGCACCTCCAGCTCCAGTGCCTCTAGCTCCAGCGCCTCCAGCTCCAGTGCCTCCAGCTCTAGAGCCTGCAGCACCACCAGCTCCGGCAGCTCCAGCACCTCCAAAACGAGCACCTCGGGGACCAGCAGTGCCAGCACCACCAGCACCTCCAGCACCAGCAGCACCAGCTCCTCCGGTAACTCCAGCTACTGTGTCTCCAGCTCCAGAGCCTCCAACTCCAGCGTCTCCAACCCCAGCGCCTCCACCTCCAGGGCCTCCGGCTCCAAGGCCGCCAGCCCCAGCGCCTCCATCTCTAGCGCCTCGAGCGCCAGCGCCTCCAGCTTCAGCGCCTCCAGCTCTAGTGCCTCCAGCTCCAGGGTCTCCAACTCCAGAGCCTCCAGTGCCAGCGTCTCCAGCGGCAGGGCCTCCGGCATTAGTGCCTCCTGAGTGAGTGCCTCCAGCGACAGGGCCTCCGGCTCCAGCAGCGCCACTCCGAAGGCGGGTGCGCCGAGCGTACCACTCGCGCAGCTGCTGTGGTGAGAGAGGCTCGCGCCAGCTAGACTGCTGTGACGAGGCACCACCAGCATCTCCAGGACTAGCAGCTCCTGGGCCTCCAGCTCCAGCAGCGCCACTCCGAAGGCGGGTGCGCCGAGCGTACCACTCGCGCAGCTGCTGTGGTGAGAGAGGCTCCCGTAGTGTAGACGCAGTACCCCTAGACACAGCACCCCCAGGCTCCGCACCCGCAGGCTCAGCACCCCCAGGCTCCACACGCTCAGGCTCCGCACACGTAGGCTCAGCACCCCAAGACGCAGCACCCCGAGCAGCACCAGAGTCACCAGTGACCTCGACAGGCTCAACCAAGGGGAGTGGGTCTACCTGAGACACACCTGAAGGAGCAGGACCCTGAGGGGGGAGGGGGTCTACCGGAGGGGGACCTGGAGCGAGGAAGAGCGGCGGGGGGGGGGGGAGAGGGGCAGTGCGGTAGGGGAAGAGACGGTAAAAGGGAACCGACTTGTCGAACGTGGCGTCATAAGAGGGAAAGTCACGGCACAACGTGGGGTGGTAAAACTGCCAGACATACGTGTTAGGGGGGAAGCCAAGGAAGACAGGTGGAATGGCGCGAGAGGAGAGCTTGTCCGCGGAAATATCGCGGACCAAGGCACAAGCGCCCCAGACCCGGAACACCGACGCATCGCCAACCTCCCCCGTCCAACGCAGTGTAGGCGAGGTCTCCGGCATGGAGACACGGGGCCAGAGGTTGAGCTGATGCGCAGCGTACCGGACCGCAAACGGCCACAGAAAATGGGGAGCAGCCGCATGGATCATGGAGGTATGAGCGACCTCCATGACTAAGCCAATACGGCGCTCAGCAACCCCATTCTGCTGCAGGGAGGCCAGAAATGTGAACGACTGGAGGATACCCTCCCCACAACAATAGTCCCGCAAGAGGTCGGAGGAGAACTCACCACCTCTATCAGAGTGCAGACGTAGGAAAGGAAGGTCCGTGTGGAACCGCTCGCGGAGCTGGAGACAGACAACGCAGATCCAAGGGATCAGAACATCATGGACCTCCCCCTTGCTACGCAAGGGGAAGACCGTGGTGTAACGCGTGTAGTCGTCAACAACCAGCAAAAGGTACTGCTCGTGGCCCTGTCCCTGGACGTGGGCTGGGCCCCACACGTCCATGTGGAGAGTCTGCAGGGGAGCAGTCGTTGGGGGAAACGAGGAGGAGTGAGGAGCGGTGCGCTGCCGCCCCTCGACGCAAGGAAGGCAGGGTGGCGCAGGCGAGCGCAGGAGGGGGGGCAGAGACCTGGGAAGGCCAGAGACAAGGAGGCGGGAGTGCATGCCACGGAGTCGTGGCAGGGAGGTAACCGAGGTATCAACCCAGGAGGACTGCGTTGCTCACCAAGTTCGTCGAGAACGAGGGGAGGTGAAGACCTGTCAGTGAGCCAGACGGAACCGCCGGACACGGGAGAACAGTGGTGGAACGTGCAAGAACTGGGCCCCCGGAGGGGTCAGCCAGAGAGACTGCAACAGGTGCAGGGAGTGGTGTGACTGTGGTACTGTCGCGAAAGAAGCAGCGGGAAGCACCTGAGTCAAGCGTGAAGGTGTGCAAGGCCTCAGCAGTCGCAGAACCAGAGAGAGTAGACTCGCTAGCACCTAGAGCAGCAGCCTCTATACCTGGGTCGGGCGGCACACACAGGTAACAGTCACCCTCAGCACCAACAGTCAAAGCATACATGGCAGTAAGGATAGCGTCATAGTCTAGAGCAAATATATCCACATTGTTCCGAAGCAGCTCTAGCCAGTGAGGGAGCTCAGCCTCCTCGCCAAACTGTGCACGCCAGGCGTCGCTCAGACTGGAGAAGCAACGAGACTGTGTGTGGCCAACTGTCCCGCAAGTCTGACCAGCCCGATCACCTGTGCGAATGACGTACGGGCAACGAGCATTACTCCGAGACGCCCCACGCTGAGCGTACCACTCATGAAGCTGCTGGGGCGTAAGGGCCTCGCACCGACACCGCTGTAGCTGTAACTGGCCACCGCCAGAAACTCCCAACTGAACAGCTCCACCGCGACTGCCACTACGGCCGCCGCCACCACTCCGAGACGCACAACGCTGAGCGTACCACTCACGAAGCTGCTAGAGCGTAAGGGTCTCGCGCGGACGCCGCTGCAGCTGCATCTGGCCACTGCCAGATGCTCGCCACGGAACAGCTTCGCCGCGACTGCCACCATCGCCACCACCACTCCCACCGCTACCATGAAGAGAAGTCATAGCGGGCAAAGCAAGGAGGCGTGCGACCAGCAGGGCAGCACTCAGAGAAGGCAGGGCTGCGAGCAGGTACTAGGGTAGCGCGTAGGGTAGGGCGGGGCGGCGCACGGTCAGGGAAGGGCGGCGCATGGCTAGAGCAGGGCGGAGCGCTGAAAGTAGGGCGGCGAGGGGGAAGGGGAGGGCGCGCGGGCAGGCAAGGGGCAGCGCGCGGGCTGCAGAGGGCGGCGCGCGGGCTGCCAGGGCGGTGCGCGGGCTGCCAGGGGCGGCCCGGGGGCTGCCAGGGGCCGCGCGCGAGCAGGCAGGGGTGACGCACGGGCAGGCAGGGGCGGCACGCGTCAGCAGGGCGGCGCGCGGGCTGCAAAGGGTGGCGCGCACGCAGGCATAGGTAGCGCGCGGCCAGCAGGGCAGTGCGCGGGGCTGCAAAGGGTAGCGTGCGGGCTGCAAGGGCGGCACGCGGGCTGCGAAGGGCAGCGCGCGGCTAGCAGGGCAGCTCGCGGGCTGCAGACGGGCGGCGCGTGGGCTGCACGGGGCGGCGCGCGGGTGGCGCAGGGCAGGGCAGGGCGTGCGCGGGGCAGCGCGACGCAGGGCAGGGCAGGGCGTGCACGGGGTGGCGCAACGCGAGGCAGGGCGCGCGCGAGGCAATGCGACGCAGGGCAGGGCGTGCACGGGCAGCGTGACGCAAGGCAGGGCAGGGCAGGGCGCGCGCGGGCGGCGCGACGCAGGGCAGGGCGTGGGGTAGCGCGGTAACCGCAGTCGGTCACTAGCTAATGGTGGGCCCGGAAAAAAACGGTCCTACGGACCTACTGCTCTGATACCATGTCAAAAGAGTAAGCGAGGATGAATGCATTGAGCAGAAAAGTGGATACAAGTACCCTACTTTGGGTTGTACCCCTTATGGGCTATCCCACTACAGCCTACACAGCACAAGCATCCCCATTACGGTTTGATAGCAGATACATTTGAATTGGAAAAGGCAGGAACGAGTTTTGAAACGGGTTCCTGCGCCACACGGTTGAATCTCGCTGCTTTGAAGGGCGATCCTGGGGCTGCAGCGGCCCCGGACACTACTCCTCCCCCCCACCCCTACCCGACCCGACTCCAGGCTCGTGTTCGCCGTGCCCGTGAGGAGCAGCTGGAGTTGGAGAGAGAGGAGAGAGAGTTGCAGCGGCTGGAGGAGGAGGAGGAGCAGCAGCAGCAGCAGCAGCAGCTGGAGTCGCCGCAGCAGCAGGAGGTGCAGTAGCGGCCGCCGCAGGAGCAGCAGCAGCAACAGCAGCAGCCGCCTCCTCCTCCTGTCTCTGGTCTTCGGACCCTCGGTCTCCCCTCTCCCTCTCCTTCCTCCTCCCCCTCTCCTCCTGTCTACGGTCCCACGTTTCCTCCTCCTGACTCCTCCCCCGCTGTTTTCACTCGTTCTTCCCCTCCGCTGTCGCCTCCTCCTTTGCACCCTTGGCACTCTCGTTGCTCTCCTCGTGCTCGTCCCTCGTCCCCTGTTCCTTTCACTGACCTTCGTTCTGCTCTGTTACCATGTCAAGATAAGAATATACGGGTTTAGGTAGGGCCTAGGCTTAGGAGCCTAGGCCCAAGGGGAGTTAATAGGATTGTGGCAAGAGATTACGAGAATGGAGGCGTTTCACTATAGCAGAGAGGGTACATATAGGAAGGAGGAGGTGGCACAAGAGGGGGTACACCACCAAGAGAGAACAAGATACCACACTATTTAGTGTACATGCAGTTACATAGAACAATATAACTTCTAACAGAAATGTGCACTATTGTATACGGCTAGCTAGGTCGTCTCGTATTCTCTTTCCAATCTTGTATAAACCCTTGTATTTGCTTGTTATATACACTTCCATCATCTTGCATTGACTCAGACAAGGCATCATCATTCACTTTCGCTGCAAATTCATCATGCGATCGATACTGAGCAGATCCCGACTAAATCCTCTAGGGGGTTGTAACACACTTTATCGTGCTTCTGCAACGTGGGAAACGTACATGGAAATTTATTATGATCATAAATGAATTCAAAATAATCCAACTACCATTCAGGCTATTTAAATGAAATTCTGAATATCAGACTAGCAGACAATACTGGTCGCGGAAAATTTGGCCTGATCTGTAGTTTAGTGGTTGGATTTAATATAGGATTGTAATCTTTTCCATAGTGCGGATGCGGGAGTTTTTTCCTGTCAACATCAAGATCGACGAATGCAAGGCCACAGTCTCGTCGGCTCGCCGCGGTTTAGTCTAGGCGGGAAAGCAGGCAGCATCCCACATGAAGATCGCCTCGCTGACGTAGCGGGCGACGTAGCCTAGCGAGGAACGTAGCGGGCGACGTAGCGAGCGACGCATGAGCGATGGGTAACCAGGTGGTGATCGCGAAGGCGGCGGCGGGCGTGGCGTCGGACTACTGGGTGCACGAGCTGCCGCGCGGCGTGGTACTCAAGGACGTGCTGGCGGCGGGGCGGTTCCTGAAGACGCTGGACTGCTTCCACCACGAGGGCCGCGTCATCGTCAAGGTCTTCCTCAAACGCGCCGACCTCAACCTCCCGCTGCAGGCCAGTCATCCCCGCGCCCTCCCGCTGCCAGTTCCGCGTTACAGGCGCGATTAAATCTTTCCGTGCCGCAGTTTCGTAAGCTGCCGTCGCAGGCGAGTGAGAGTGAGCGGGTTATGGGTGGAGAGCGGCGCTCGGGGGAAGGCAACAGTGGATGAGGGGGAGGGCCTCAGCGCCACGTGCCTCTTGAGGCTAGAGCGCCTTCCCCGCCTCACAAGAAGCGCCATCGCGGCTGGGCAGGCACGCTGTGCGCTGGGCCACGGCTGTTGACAGCGGCAACTGCATGGCCTCCTTATCCCCATCCCATCCCATGCTGCGCCCTCCCATGCGCCCTTGCACTCTTGCCTGTGCCCTCCCCTGCGCGCGCCCGTCTTTCCCCCCTCCCAGGCGTACGAGCAGCAGCTGAAGGTCATTCGCCATCGCCTCTCAGGCATCCACAAGTCGCACGTCTGGCCCTTCCAGGTGCGCCCTGCCCTTCCAGGTGCGCCTGTGCACCATCACTGCCCCATGTCACATGCACCATTGTCCCATCGTCTTTCTCTCCCGCCAGTACCCACCCTTCGTCTCCACCAATCCGTTTCTGACGATTCAGCCTCGTCCCCCGCTGCCATGCGCTTGCATACTCCCGTCCACGCTGCCTCCAGTTCTCTGGTCCTCTCAACTCAACTCTCCCCCCTGTCTGTGCCCTCCGCTGCTCCTTCCCTTGGGCAGAAGTGGTACGAGACGGAGCGAGCGGCGTATCTGGTGAGGCAGTACCTATTCAGCACGCTGCACGACCGCCTTGGCACGCGCCCCTTCCTGGGCCTCACCTTCAAGAAGTGGATTGCCTTCCAGGTAGCTGCTCCTTCCAGGTAGCTGCTCCTTCCAGGTAGCTGCTCCTTCCAGGTAGCTGCTCCTTCCAGGTAGCTGCTCCTTCCAGGTAGCTGCTCCTTCCAGGTAGCTGCTCCTTCCAGGTAGCTGCTCCTTCCAGGTAGCTGCTCCTTCCAGGTAGCTGCTCCTTCCAGGTAGCTGCTCCTTCCAGGTAGCTGCTCCTTCCAGGTAGCTGCTCCTTCCAGGTAGCTGCTCCTTCCAGGTAGCTGCTCCTTCCAGGTAGCTGCTCCTTCCAGGTAGCTGCTCCTTCCAGGTAGCTGCTCCTTCCAGGTAGCTGCTCCTTCCAGGTAGCTGCTCCTTCCAGGTAGCTGCTCCTTCCAGGTAGCTGCTCCTTCCAGGTAGCTGCTCCTTCCAGGTAGCTGCTCCTTCCAGGTAGCTGCTCCTTCCAGGTAGCTGCTCCTTCCAGGTAGCTGCTCCTTCCAGGTAGCTGCTCCTTCCAGGTAGCTGCTCCTTCCAGGTAGCTGCTCCTTCCAGGTAGCTGCTCCTTCCAGGTAGCTGCTCCTTCCAGGTAGCTGCTCCTTCCAGGTAGCTGCTCCTTCCAGGTAGCTGCTCCTTCCAGGTAGCTGCTCCTTCCAGGTAGCTGCTCCTTCCAGGTAGCTGCTCCTTCCAGATGCTGCTCTTTCCAGCCATTGGAAGGTAGTTTTGCTGTAGACTGTATCATACAACGAGTCTTTGTTTTTCCAGTCATTCATTCATCATCTGAGAGCGCCTCCTCCGTCTCGCCGCACGGCACCGCGCTCTCCCCTCGGTGCAGATCCTCAAGGCGTTGGACCAGGCGCACTCACGAGGGGTCTGCCATGGTGCGCCCTCCCTCAACCCTCCCTCCTCCCTTCCGTGCCCTTCCCCCTCAGTCGTCTCTACAGCTCACTGCGCTGCCTCTCTGTTCATCCCACCTTTTTGCTCGCTATTCCCCTCCTATTTGTGCTCCGTTCCCTCATGACGTTCCGCTGTCCTTTTCCCCCACGTCTCATGTCACTGCCACCACTCGTGCCATGCGCCTCACGCCCTCCCACCCACCGTCTGCATGCCATCCGTGAAGAGAAAGAAGAGAAAGTAAATGCCAATTGATCCACCCTGCTCCATGCGCTCATCCCATGCTCCTCTATTGCAATGCATGGGGCCCGGCGGGGCGAGCAGGCGATTTGAAGGCGGACAACGTGTGTGTGACGGCGTGGAACTGGGTGCAGGTGGTGGACTGGGCGCCCTTCAAGCCCGCCCTCGTGCCCAGCGACAACCCCGCCATCTTCTCCTTCTTCTTCGATACCGCCCCCTCCGGCCGCCGCCGCTGCTGCATAGCGCCTGAGGTGTGCTCCTCCCGTTTTCACTCCCTCCACCCGCGCTGCTCCCCCCTCCCCCACCCGACCCCCATGCTTGCCCCCTCCCCCCTGCCACTCCCTCACAAGTTCCCCTGAAAACTACTTGTATGCCGACTTGGGATGTTACTACAAGACAAGTACAAATGTGACACAGTGGCCTATCTGCAGCATGCACTCAGCAATTCTGTGTGTGATGTGGCATGGATGTGTCCGTGAATTGATGGCATGACGTGGCATGGTATGGCATGGGACGGCGTGGCACGGCACGGCATGGCATGGCATGGCATGGCATGGCATAATCTGACGGCATGGCAGCGGTTTGTGTCGGCGAGTGAGTGGAGGCAGAGGCAGAGCGAGGTGGAGGGCGGGGCGGGGGGAGCACAGCTGCAGCCCGCCATGGACATCTTCTCCGCCGGGTCAGTGCTGCTCTCGCTGGCTCACCTCACCTGTGTAGTGTGTCTGCCTGCCTGTCGTGACGGCTCAGCGTGTGAGGGGAAGGGTGAGTGATGGGCTGGCAGGTAGGATGATGTCCCTTGCCTCACCCAGTCCATGCCTCACCCAGTCCATGCCTCACCCAGTCCATGCCTCACCCAGTCCATGCCTCACCCAGTCCATGCCTCACCCAGTCCATGCCTCACCCAGTCCATGCCTCACCCAGTCCATGCCTCACCCAGTCCATGCCTCACCCAGTCCATGCCTCACCCAGTCCATGCCTCACCCAGTCCATGCCTCACCCAGTCCATGCCTCACCCAGTCCATGCCTCACCCAGTCCATGCCTCACCCAGTCCATGCCTCACCCAGTCCATGCCTCACCCAGTCCATGCCTCACCCAGTCCATGCCTCACCCAGTCCATGCCTCACCCAGTCCATGCCTCACCCAGTCCATGCCTCACCCAGTCCATGCCTCACCCAGTCCATGCCTCACCCAGTCCATGCCTCACCCAGTCCATGCCTCACCCAGTCCATGCCTCACCCAGTCCATGCCTCACCCAGTCCATGCCTCACCCAGTCCATGCCTCACCCAGTCCATGCCTCACCCAGTCCATGCCTCACCCAGTCCATGCCTCACCCAGTCCATGCCTCACCCAGTCCATGCCTCACCCAGTCCATGCCTCACCCAGTCCATGCCTCACCCAGTCCATGCCTCACCCAGTCCATGCCTCACCCAGTCCATGCCTCACCCAGTCCATGCCTCACCCAGTCCATGCCTCACCCAGTCCATGCCTCACCCAGTCCATGCCTCACCCAGTCCATGCCTCACCCAGTCCATGCCTCACCCAGTCCATGCCTCACCCAGTCCATGCCTCACCCAGTCCATGCCTCACCCAGTCCATGCCTCACCCAGTCCATGCCTCACCCAGTCCATGCCTCACCCAGTCCATGCCTCACCCAGTCCATGCCTCACCCAGTCCATGCCTCACCCAGTCCATGCCTCACCCAGTCCATGCCTCACCCAGTCCATGCCTCACCCAGTCCATGCCTCACCCAGTCCATGCCTCACCCAGTCCATGCCTCACCCAGTCCATGCCTCACCCAGTCCATGCCTCACCCAGTCCATGCCTCACCCAGTCCATGCCTCACCCAGTCCATGCCTCACCCAGTCCATGCCTCACCCAGTCCATGCCTCACCCAGTCCATGCCTCACCCAGTCCATGCCTCACCCAGTCCATGCCTCACCCAGTCCATGCCTCACCCAGTCCATGCCTCACCCAGTCCATGCCTCACCCAGTCCATGCCTCACCCAGTCCATGCCTCACCCAGTCCATGCCTCACCCAGTCCATGCCTCACCCAGTCCATGCCTCACCCAGTCCATGCCTCACCCAGTCCATGCCTCACCCAGTCCATGCCTCACCCAGTCCATGCCTCACCCAGTCCATGCCTCACCCAGTCCATGCCTCACCCAGTCCATGCCTCACCCAGTCCATGCCTCACCCAGTCCATGCCTCACCCAGTCCATGCCTCACCCAGTCCATGCCTCACCCAGTCCATGCCTCACCCAGTCCATGCCTCACCCAGTCCATGCCTCACCCAGTCCATGCCTCACCCAGTCCATGCCTCACCCAGTCCATGCCTCACCCAGTCCATGCCTCACCCAGTCCATGCCTCACCCAGTCCATGCCTCACCCAGTCCATGCCTCACCCAGTCCATGCCTCACCCAGTCCATGCCTCACCCAGTCCATGCCTCACCCAGTCCATGCCTCACCCAGTCCATGCCTCACCCAGTCCATGCCTCACCCAGTCCATGCCTCACCCAGTCCATGCCTCACCCAGTCCATGCCTCACCCAGTCCATGCCTCACCCAGTCCATGCCTCACCCAGTCCATGCCTCACCCAGTCCATGCCTCACCCAGTCCATGCCTCACCCAGTCCATGCCTCACCCAGTCCATGCCTCACCCAGTCCATGCCTCACCCAGTCCATGCCTCACCCAGTCCATGCCTCACCCAGTCCATGCCTCACCCAGTCCATGCCTCACCCAGTCCATGCCTCACCCAGTCCATGCCTCACCCAGTCCATGCCTCACCCAGTCCATGCCTCACCCAGTCCATGCCTCACCCAGTCCATGCCTCACCCAGTCCATGCCTCACCCAGTCCATGCCTCACCCAGTCCATGCCTCACCCAGTCCATGCCTCACCCAGTCCATGCCTCACCCAGTCCATGCCTCACCCAGTCCATGCCTCACCCAGTCCATGCCTCACCCAGTCCATGCCTCACCCAGTCCATGCCTCACCCAGTCCATGCCTCACCCAGTCCATGCCTCACCCAGTCCATGCCTCACCCAGTCCATGCCTCACCCAGTCCATGCCTCACCCAGTCCATGCCTCACCCAGTCCATGCCTCACCCAGTCCATGCCTCACCCAGTCCATGCCTCACCCAGTCCATGCCTCACCCAGTCCATGCCTCACCCAGTCCATGCCTCACCCAGTCCATGCCTCACCCAGTCCATGCCTCACCCAGTCCATGCCTCACCCAGTCCATGCCTCACCCAGTCCATGCCTCACCCAGTCCATGCCTCACCCAGTCCATGCCTCACCCAGTCCATGCCTCACCCAGTCCATGCCTCACCCAGTCCATGCCTCACCCAGTCCATGCCTCACCCAGTCCATGCCTCACCCAGTCCATGCCTCACCCAGTCCATGCCTCACCCAGTCCATGCCTCACCCAGTCCATGCCTCACCCAGTCCATGCCTCACCCAGTCCATGCCTCACCCAGTCCATGCCTCACCCAGTCCATGCCTCACCCAGTCCATGCCTCACCCAGTCCATGCCTCACCCAGTCCATGCCTCACCCAGTCCATGCCTCACCCAGTCCATGCCTCACCCAGTCCATGCCTCACCCAGTCCATGCCTCACCCAGTCCATGCCTCACCCAGTCCATGCCTCACCCAGTCCATGCCTCACCCAGTCCATGCCTCACCCAGTCCATGCCTCACCCAGTCCATGCCTCACCCAGTCCATGCCTCACCCAGTCCATGCCTCACCCAGTCCATGCCTCACCCAGTCCATGCCTCACCCAGTCCATGCCTCACCCAGTCCATGCCTCACCCAGTCCATGCCTCACCCAGTCCATGCCTCACCCAGTCCATGCCTCACCCAGTCCATGCCTCACCCAGTCCATGCCTCACCCAGTCCATGCCTCACCCAGTCCATGCCTCACCCAGTCCATGCCTCACCCAGTCCATGCCTCACCCAGTCCATGCCTCACCCAGTCCATGCCTCACCCAGTCCATGCCTCACCCAGTCCATGCCTCACCCAGTCCATGCCTCACCCAGTCCATGCCTCACCCAGTCCATGCCTCACCCAGTCCATGCCTCACCCAGTCCATGCCTCACCCAGTCCATGCCTCACCCAGTCCATGCCTCACCCAGTCCATGCCTCACCCAGTCCATGCCTCACCCAGTCCATGCCTCACCCAGTCCATGCCTCACCCAGTCCATGCCTCACCCAGTCCATGCCTCACCCAGTCCATGCCTCACCCAGTCCATGCCTCACCCAGTCCATGCCTCACCCAGTCCATGCCTCACCCAGTCCATGCCTCACCCAGTCCATGCCTCACCCAGTCCATGCCTCACCCAGTCCATGCCTCACCCAGTCCATGCCTCACCCAGTCCATGCCTCACCCAGTCCATGCCTCACCCAGTCCATGCCTCACCCAGTCCATGCCTCACCCAGTCCATGCCTCACCCAGTCCATGCCTCACCCAGTCCATGCCTCACCCAGTCCATGCCTCACCCAGTCCATGCCTCACCCAGTCCATGCCTCACCCAGTCCATGCCTCACCCAGTCCATGCCTCACCCAGTCCATGCCTCACCCAGTCCATGCCTCACCCAGTCCATGCCTCACCCAGTCCATGCCTCACCCAGTCCATGCCTCACCCAGTCCATGCCTCACCCAGTCCATGCCTCACCCAGTCCATGCCTCACCCAGTCCATGCCTCACCCAGTCCATGCCTCACCCAGTCCATGCCTCACCCAGTCCATGCCTCACCCAGTCCATGCCTCACCCAGTCCATGCCTCACCCAGTCCATGCCTCACCCAGTCCATGCCTCACCCAGTCCATGCCTCACCCAGTCCATGCCTCACCCAGTCCATGCCTCACCCAGTCCATGCCTCACCCAGTCCATGCCTCACCCAGTCCATGCCTCACCCAGTCCATGCCTCACCCAGTCCATGCCTCACCCAGTCCATGCCTCACCCAGTCCATGCCTCACCCAGTCCATGCCTCACCCAGTCCATGCCTCACCCAGTCCATGCCTCACCCAGTCCATGCCTCACCCAGTCCATGCCTCACCCAGTCCATGCCTCACCCAGTCCATGCCTCACCCAGTCCATGCCTCACCCAGTCCATGCCTCACCCAGTCCATGCCTCACCCAGTCCATGCCTCACCCAGTCCATGCCTCACCCAGTCCATGCCTCACCCAGTCCATGCCTCACCCAGTCCATGCCTCACCCAGTCCATGCCTCACCCAGTCCATGCCTCACCCAGTCCATGCCTCACCCAGTCCATGCCTCACCCAGTCCATGCCTCACCCAGTCCATGCCTCACCCAGTCCATGCCTCACCCAGTCCATGCCTCACCCAGTCCATGCCTCACCCAGTCCATGCCTCACCCAGTCCATGCCTCACCCAGTCCATGCCTCACCCAGTCCATGCCTCACCCAGTCCATGCCTCACCCAGTCCATGCCTCACCCAGTCCATGCCTCACCCAGTCCATGCCTCACCCAGTCCATGCCTCACCCAGTCCATGCCTCACCCAGTCCATGCCTCACCCAGTCCATGCCTCACCCAGTCCATGCCTCACCCAGTCCATGCGCTATCGTCATCTGCGCCTGTCCAGTTGACACCTGTGGGGCGGACCTTGTTGCTGCCTCATTCTCACTTCATCACCTCACCTAAACCTAAACCCCCTTCCCTGCAAGCACTGGTGTGCCCGGCAGGTGTGTGATAGCGGAGATGTTTCTGGACGGCGATGTGCTCTTCGACCTCTCCTCACTGCTCGCCTATGTGCACGGCTCCTACCACCCCCTCCCCCTCATCGATAGGGTATGCCCCACCGCCGCCCCATTCGCCAACACAGTGTATCCCCCACCACCCATTTACCGCGTATCAAATCTGACACTTTCCTCCCTGCGGCCCTGCCCTTCCTCTCCACCACTTTCGGTATTCAGCTATCACACACACACACACACGAAATGCCTCCCGTGTTTCTCACCCTCACCTCCCCTCCTCTCCCCCTCCCACCCAGATCCCGTGTCCATCAGTGCGAGCGCTGGTGGCGCACATGGTGCAGAGGGACCCAGCACAGCGCCTGCCAGCAGCGGCATACCTCACGGCATTCAGCGACCCCCAGGGCGGGGCGCTGTTCCCCCAGCCCGCGTTCGACGCCCTGCATGACGAGCTCTTCTGCCACCTGCCCTCCATGGACGCTGATGGCCGGGTACCATGACAGGGGGGTAATATGGGGGGGAGAGGGGGGGTAACATGGGGGGGAGAGGGGGGGTAACATGGGGGGGAGAGGGGGGTAAACATGGGGGGGAGAGGGGGGGTAACATGGGGGGGAGAGGGGGGGTAACATGGGGGGAGAGGGGGGGTAACATGGGGGGGAGAGGGGGGGTAACATGGGGGGGAGAGGGGGGGTAACATGGGGGGAGAGGGGGGGTAACATGGGGGGAGAGGGGGGGTAACATGGGGGGGAGAGGGGGGGTAACATGGGGGGGAGAGGGGGGGTAACATGGGGGGGAGAGGGGGGGTAACATGGGGGAGAGAGGAAGGGTAACATGGGGGGGAGAGGGGGAGTAACATGGGGGCAGGTGGGGAGGGGGGGGGTAACATGGGGGGGAGGGGAGGGATAACATGGAGGAGATGAGGGGGGGGGTGGGGATCATGCTGCTGGGGTGGAGTGATGGGGTGGTGGGGGTGGGGTGGTGGTGGTGGGATGCTCATGCTATTTCTTCTGCTGCGGGTGCTGCCATGCCGACATGGGTAGCAGCAGCTGGGTGGTTGGTGGGCATGGGCTTTAACGACAACCCCTCGCAAAGGCATGGGTACGCCATGACTCTTTACACTATCCCCCGACTCTCTCCTCTGCCCTGCCTCCCCTCCTCCCCCTTCCCCCAGATCGCCCTCACCCGCCAGCTCTACCCGCGCCTCTCTCGCATCATTGCCTCCTCGCTGCACGGTGGTGGGCAGGGGGGTACGGAAGGGGAGGGTTGTGGAGAAGAGGAGTTGGCGGTGGAGAAGGGTTGTGCTGGGAAGGCGGAGAGGGGGGAGAGTGGAATGTGGGGAAGCGGGGGAGGCGAGCAGGGAGGCGAGCAGGGAGGCGAGCAGGAGGTGGCAGCGCAAAGGGGCATGGTGGGGAGTGGTGAAGTGAGGGGGGATGACGAGGGCGGTGGTTGTGAGCAGGTGACAAGCAGTGCGAGGGCGAATGATGACGGCAGCCTGCAGGGCAGCGGCAGCACTGTGTGTGATGTTAGCGCAGGTGACAGCACAGGTGCGGACGGCATGGGTACAGGCGACAGCATGGCAGGCGTTGAGGGAGCGGAGAGGGCTGAGAGAGCTGAGAGAAAGGAGAGTGCCACAAAACCTGGGAGAGGCAGCAGAGGGGCACACGGCAGTGCGAGTGAGAGCATGGGGGGCGGAGTGGGCAACAGCGGCAGCGCCATGGTGCTGCTGGTGGGGCTGCTCACTGCCTGCCTGCGCAACGCTCGCCTGCCACACTCACGCCGCCACTGCCTGCTGCTGCTGCACGCCGCCGCGCACCACTGCTCGCACGCGGTGTGCCTGCAGGCGGTGGCGCCCTTCCTGGTGGCGGTGCTGGCCCCGGACGGCCTCACAGCCACGCCGCTGCATGCCCTCGACACGCTGCTCCCCGGCGGGGCTGCCAGCCCGCCCCTCGTGCGCTGCACGGCGCTCACCGTGCTCACGCGGCTGCTGGCGCGCGTGCGGGGCTTCCCGTCCACGGACGCGCGCTTCTTCCCCGAGTACCTCTTCCCCTCGCTCTCGCTGCTCCCCCGCTCGCCCCACGACAGCGTGCGCGCCACGCTCGCCCTCTGCCTGCCCTCCCTCGCTGCCTCCGCGCTGCGCTTCCTGCTGCTCGCCGCCAGGGGGAGCGAGGGGGAGTCTGGGCAGGGGGCGAATGAGGGAGACAGGAAAATCAGTGTTGCTGTGTGGGAGGAATACGATGGTGGCGACAACAACAGCAGCAGCTGTGAGCCGGGCTTGTCGCTGGCAACCTCCAGCCTGCCTTCATCCGAGCGGGTCAGCAGCAGCACCACGCTCACGGCGCTCAAGGCGCTGGCAGCGGCAGCGGAGGGGCTGGGAGAGCAGCACATGGGCGAGGTGGCGGAGGTGAGGGAGGCGGTGCGCGTGGCGGTGGAGGAGCTGTCCACGCTGCCCCGCAGCACACCCCCCATCCGCCTCTCCCTGCTGCACCACGCGCCCTCCCTCGCTGTCTTCCTTGGCCCCTCCCTCGCCACCACCGCCCTGCTCCCGCTGCTCATCACGTTCCTCAACGACCCCTCGCCCCGCGTGCGCGCTGCCTTCTTCCACACGCTGCCCGCCCTCTGCCCCCATGTGGCCGCCTCCGCACTGCCCGCCTTCCTCCTGCCGTGTCTCGAGCAAGCCCTGGGGGACACCTCTCACCCGTCCGTGCCTGCTGCTGCTGCCGCGTGCCTGGCCCAGCTCGCGCGCTCCCAGCGCCTGCAGCAGCGGCGCTGGTTGCTGTCGGCAGCGCGCCATGCAGCGCCGCTCCTTAGGCACCCCGAGGGGGACGTGAGGGGCGCTGCTGTGGCTTTTGCAGCAGCTGCTGCGGGTCAACTGTCGGCTGTTGACACCCACGCGCTGCTGCTGCCGCTGCTCTCCCCCTCCCTGCGCTACCGCCCTGCGCTGCTCTCCTCTCCCGCCTCCCTTGCTGCTGCGCTCAAGTCGCCCCTGTCAGCCCACCCTGCTGTTCCGCCCCAGCCACCCGTCCCAGCCCAAGCAGGAGTGGCGGCGTGGCAGATGAATGCAGGGCAGGCAGCGCCCCACCTCCGCGTGCCGCATGCGCTCCCACCTGCTGCTGCACGCGAGGCAGAGGCCGGCCGTGCTGCTGCAGGTGCGGGTGTGAGTGTGAGTGTGAGTGTGGGCGAGCATGGCAGCAAGGGAGGAGTTGGTGCAAGGGGCGGCGAGCAAGAGCAAGGTGCAGACATGGGAGCAGTGGGCGGGGGGGAAGGAGGCGCAGCAGACTTGCAAGGGAAGCGGTCGGTGGGGCAGGAGGAGGGGAGGGACGTGGCGATGGGGGCGAGTGGGCGAGCAGCAGCAGGGCAGAACGTGGCCTCGTCGACACTCGCACACTCCCTCTCGATGCAATATGCTCTGCCCCCGGCACACGGCGCAGCAGCAGCAACACCATACCCGGCCATGGCTGGCGCGCTTGCCAGCATGCGCACAGACTCGGGGCAGCCCTGGCCGCCCCTCCCCTCCACGGCACCATGGCCCGCCACCACACAATGGCCGTCTTCCACCGCTCACTGGCCCTCCACACCCCTCCACACTCCCTCGCATGCCTCTGCATCCCACTCTCTCCTCGTCCCCCCCCTCCCTCCTCTCCACCCCTCCGTCTCCCCCTTCCGCCCTGTTCGATTCCCATCCCCTCGCCCCACGTCCTCCCCCCTCTCGCTCTCCTTGTCCTTCCACCGGCCCCCTCCTCCCCTCACCACCCACCCGCCCTCCTCTCTCACCTCCTCGACCACTCACCAACCCCTTTCCACACACTCTCTCACTCCCATCCACCTGCCCCTTGCTCCCTCTCTCCCGTCTCTCCTCTCTCCCTCGTCACACCCCTCGCCGCACTCCCCATCGGCCTCCTTCTCTCTCACCCCTGCCAGCCCACACGCACAGTCGCACCCAGCCTTGGATCTGCCACCCCTCGCTGTGCCACTCTACTCCCTGGCCCACCCCGCCCCCGCCCTGCCTGCCTCGGCCTCCACCTCTGCACTCCCCTCCGCCACCCTCTCTCCCCCCTCGCTGCCTCGCCCCCCTTCACTACTCTCACCCTCCACCTCACCCATTGCCCCTCTTGCTGCTGCTGCTCCTGTCGCTGCTGCTGCCAGTGCTGCGGCGGCTGCAGCCTGTGTGGGTGGTCCACAGGGTGCCACGCTAGATGCTCTGCCACCCACACCACCCGCTGCTGCTGCTGCTGCTGCTGCTGCTGCTCGCGCTCCCGCCTCTGCTTCTGCTGCGGCGTCTCTGCCTGCCCACCGTGACACAGCCAGTCATCCCAATGCGCAGGCTCAAGCTCCCACCACATCTAGTGTTGGAGACTGCCACCAGTCGCCCGCTGCACCCCCTGCTGCGCCATCCACTCATCCACCTGCCAATCACCTCTCATCGCCCGCTGATCTCCCATTCGCCTTTGACTCGCTTGTCGACCTCCCCTCTCCCTCCCCTACTTCCTCCGCCCTCCCCACCTCCCCCTCTGCCTGCCTGCCGTCCCTCCCACCATTCACCACTCCAGATACCGTTACCGCACCCACCACCACTCCACCAGCACTCCCACCCTCTCACGCCCTGCCGCCTGCCACAACCCCTCTCCTCACCCACACACTGCGTGGCCCTCCTCCCCCACCCCCCACCCCCTCGCCGGTGTCGCACTCACTGGTATTCCTGGGTACCACGCAGCCCCACACGCGCATCTCCTCCCTCTCCCTCTCCCTCCGCTCCTCCCGCCGCCTCCCGTCCTCCTCGGCCCTCCTTCCCTCCACCTCACCGGCTCCTCATACGCTTCCTCCTACAGTGCCGGCCGCCGGGCGTGGAGCAGAGGGTGAGCAGGGAGGCAGAGCAGAGGAAGACACTGTCAGGCGTTTGCCTGCGGCAGGGATGGAAGGTCAGACGGCAGGGATGGAAGGTCAGATGGCATTATTGGAGAGGGCGAGGGCGTTAGCTGGTCGCACTGCTGCTGCAGGCCAGGTTGCAGCTCATGCAGCAAGCCAAGCTCAATCAGCCGTGGCTGGTCGCAGTGCCACCCATGTCAATGCCACGTTATCTGCCACGTCTGCATCCCCACACCTCGTGGGACCAGGCGAGGCGCGTGCGAGGACCACGGGACATGCACAGCTGCCAGCAGCAGCACCAGCAGCACAGGTAGCACCGCCAGCAGCAGCAACGAGTCAACCAGCAGACGCGGAAGCAGAGGAGGGCAGGGACAGAACAGCCACAGCAGCAGCAGCAGTGAGTGAGGAGGTGCAGAGGCTGCTGGGGTGGGGCAGTGCGGACGACGGTGCAGCCATGGCTCTGCCGCCCGCGTCGCCCTCGCCGCTCTCCCCCTCAGCATCCTCATGGCGGCCGCGGGGGGTGCTGGTGGCGCAGCTGCATGAGCACCGCGCCGCCGTGCCTGCGCTAGCAGTGGCGCCCAACAGCCAGTGGTTCGCGACGGCATCACATGACGGCACGGTGAAGGTGTGGGACGCCACTCGCCTGGACCGTGGCACCACCTTTCGCTCCAAACTCACCTATGCGCCGGGGGCCGGGGGGACGGCAGGGGTAGGCGGGGTGGAGGGTGGGGCAGGGCGGGCGACAGCTGTGGCGGTGATGGGGGACAGTGTGACGGCGGCAGTGGGGTATGCAAGTGGGGAGGTGCACGTGGTGCATGTGGACTATGCGCCGCGCTTCCTCTCCTCGCCTCACTCCTACCGCTGCATCACCCGCATGCCCTCCCTCGAACCCTCCTCCCCCTCCTCCTTTTCCTACCACGGCCCTGGCACCTCAAGAGGGCCAATCCTCTCCGTGCACTCGTGGGCCGCCTCCCACCTGGGCGCTACTCACTCTCACCTCTCCGCATCCTCCTCCTCGCTCTTCTCCTGCAACCCCCTCTCCTCCTCCCACTCACTCCTCCTCATTGCCTCGCTGCACGGCGGCATCACTCTGTGGGACATGCGAGCTGCCCGCCCCGCCTTCTCGCTGCACCTGCATGCATCCCTAGGTGCGCCCGTCCACGTGCTGCCCGACCCGCAGCACGGCCTGTGGCTGCTGGCGGCCTCCTCATGCTCCGCGCTCTGTCTGTGGGACCTGCGCTTCCTGCTGCCCCTCTCCTCCTGGCGCCTCCCCTGCGCCCCCTCCGCGCCCCACCCGCCCCCCATCACAGCGCTGGCGCCCATGCTGCCCGCGCCCTTCCCCACCCCAGGGGACGCCATGGGGGCCGCGGCAGCATTGGGGCCGGAGCACCTGCCAGGCTGGTTTGGGGCGGACCGGGGGAGCGGAGCAGCAAAGGGGGCAGTGGGGGCAGCAGGCGGTGAGGCAGCAGCAGCAGGTGCAGGGGGGGCAGTAGGGGGGGCGTCGCGGCCTCTGGTGTATGTGGCGAGTGGCAGGGACGAGGTGGGGCTGTGGAGTGCCGACACGGGGCAGTGCCACCAGGTACGGTGCCACCAGGTACGGTGCCACCAGGTACGGTGCCACCAGGTACGGTGCCACCAGGTACGGTGCCACCAGGTACGGTGCCACCAGGTACGGTGCCACCAGGTACGGTGCCACCAGGTACGGTGCCACCAGGTACGGTGCCACCAGGTACGGTGCCACCAGGTACGGTGCCACCAGGTACGGATGCTAGTCCCTTCACTAATCCATGGAGCAAGTACAGCAGACGTCAAATACCTGTGCCATCATTCCGCGGTCAGCCATGTGCTCCTTCACCAGCAGGCATAAAAGCATCACTCCTTGACGCATAAAAGCATCACTCCTTGACGCATAAAAGCATCACTCCTTGACGCATAAAAGCATCACTCCTTGACGCATAAAAGCATCACTCCTTGACGCATAAAAGCATCACTCCTTGACGCATAAATGCATCACTCCTTGACGCATAAAAGCATCACTCCTTGACGCATAAAAGCATCACTCCTTGCTTGCACCGTGTCCTCACCTGCCCTTGCCCCCTTCCTCTCTCCCCCTCCCCCAGGTCTTCTCCGTGGCCCCCCAGCCCTCCTCCAACACCGCTCCCCCTCCCTCCCTGCCCTCGCCCTCCAACCTCCCCACCGCTCTGCAATCCCGCCCGCACCTGCTGCCACTGCCGCCCTTCACCACCACCACCACCACGCCCTCCGGTCGCACCCTCTCCTCCTCGCCCTGCTTGCCCACTGGCCCTCTGCTCCAGTCAACACAGTCAACGCGGTCAAGTGAATCAAGGCAGGCAAGGCAGTCAGCGCTGCGGGTGGAGCAGCTGAAGGAGCCACCGGGCAGGGCGGGGGGGGTGAGGGCGCTGCTGGGAGTGCCGGGGGGCAGTGCGCTGCTCACAGCCGGCACTGACTGCTGCATCCGCTACTGGTGCCGCCTCAGGTGATTGCTGCCTCAGGTGATTGCTGCCTCAGGTGATGCTGTGCTGGTGGTCCGTCCAGGGTGGGGTATGTTGCGTCATTGCCATGCCAGCCCCACCCATCGCTCTCCTCTTTGCATCCACGGCCATCCATCTCTACCTCTCTGTGTCCACTGCGACAGCTTTCTATCCATTTCCTCACTTCCCACCCCCACACCCCCCCCCTCACTCCGCCCCCGCGTGCTTTCCTCCCGGGCGAGAGGGCAGGCCGGAGCAGAGTGGGTGGGTGAGCGGGCCCACAGCCAGGGGAGCGCGGGGAGAGGTGCTGCTTCCGCGCTACGACATGCGCATGGTGCACGGCGCTAGAGTCATTCAGGTGCAAACATGGCCGGGCTTCTTCCCATGTGTTTCCGCTCTCTCTTTACTGCCGATGCCTCTCTCCATCCCTCGCCTTCTCTCACTCTCTTCGACCCAGCCGTCCAACATCACCCCCACTCATCTATTCCCCCCACTCCCCACGCCACAGGAGACACCGCCCCCCTTCTACGGGGACGCGGCGCGGCAGAGAGGCAGTGGTACGGGCGCCTCCACTCCACAGGCAGGCGGGCGGGCAGCAGCAGGCAGCCAGGGCCACGCGGATACAGGCCCGGGAGGGGCAGCGGGAGGAGGAGGTGGAGGGGCAGGGGGAGGGGGGCGGCGCAGCATGGTGGAGGTGGCGGCGGTGGATGTGGGGGGGTGCCACCGCGATGCCGTGCTGGCTCTGGCTGTGGCGGACCCGGGGCAGCGCCTGCTGCTCTCCGCCAGCCGTGACGGCGTCGTCAACGTCTGGCGCTGACGATCTTGGCTCTTGACGCAAGTTCAAGGCGCGAATAGTGTACAGATAGCTTTGTTTAGTTGCATAATGGAGGTGTTTCAAGTAGTTTGAAGATTCAAGCCTCTTGTAGTAGGGATGGTTCTTCTCGTCTGCATATCAATGTTGTTTGTATACCGGCACTAGCCATTAGATTCAATTCGGCGTCCATAATGGCTACCGTATGTTTTGTTAACATGTTTTAGCTTATATAGGTAGTGTTCTTATAGGAACTGTAAGGGAGTGTGGTGGTGGACGTTTTAAACCCTGATTCGTTTACCGATGTAGCCCATGGAGAGGGCGTCATTCGCAACCGTGGCTGTTCGTCTGAAACATGTCATTCCACGTCGATGCCACGTCGGAACGCCCTGCTTGTCTGTGGGCAACACTTTTTCATTTCTGAGCACAACTGCTTACCGGGGCACTCAGTAGCGCAGGAAAAACTCGCCTATTGGATGCGATGCAACCGTCACTTCGTTCGCTCTGCTGCACGCAGCAGGTGTACGAGTGACCAACCACAAACGTCTGCTGCCATGGACCTCCATTCCATACACCTTGGGTTGCTCGCCTCCCTTCCCCACAGCAGCAGAGAGCAGAGAGAGAAGGTCAAAGGCTGGTCGCTACCGCCCCACAACTAGCCCACACCCCCGCCACCACTCCGCGTACCAGCTAAAAGCACCCACCACCAACTATCAAAGCACACACCGCGCTGCAGCAAAGCACAGCCGGGCGCCATGATGGCAGTCGCTGTGCGCGCTTCGCGGCGAGGAGCCGCGGAGCTCCCAAGGCGGCTGCTGCCATCTCATCGCCATGCGACCGCCGCCGTGTCGGCGGCTTTTGCGCTTTCGCCCACAGCTCCTGGCCGCCCGTTCTTCTCGCTCTCCGCCTGCCCCACCCAATCAGCGTCCGCCATCTGTCCGTCAGCCGCGTCGCCTTCAGCAGCTGCGTCCTCCGCCGTGCCGTCCAGCTCCGCCAGCCTCGCCAGTGCCGCCAGTTCCGCCAGGCGCGTGCCGTTCTCCCCCGTTCCCCGCGTGGCCGCGATTGGCGGCGACGTGGACGTGCGCGGCGCGGCGTTCCGACTGCGAGAGAAAGCGATGGAGCAACTGCTAGGCGAGCTGCGACAGGCGACGGACACGGTACGTCGCACACACATAGCTGAGAGGGGTAGGGGAGGGTGAGCGTAACGAGGCGGGGGTGTTGGGTGGAGGCGGGTGGTGGTGGTGCAGTGAGTGCGACTTGGATACATCAAGAGATACTATGGCCTCCGTGAATCTCGCCGCCCTCTCTCTATCTCATAATGCCCCCCACGCCACGCCCCTGCCACGCCCCTGCCAAGCCAGGTGCTGCAGGGAGGGGGACCCAAGGCGGTGCAGCGGCAGCACAGCCGCGGCAAGCTGCTGCCACGTGAGAGAATCGACCGCCTGCTCGACCCCGCCTCGCCCTTCCTCGAACTCTCCCAGGTCCCACCCCGCTCCCACACGCTCTCTCCTACAGCAATACACACTACAGCAATTTTCAGAATCTCGAAGTTGTATGTTTCCAGAATGAGAAAAAACAGATTTATAGTCCAACAAGGCAGAAAATGGGATTCGCAACGTAACATGTTTCCCAAGTTATCGTGCGAGCGCCTCGTTTCACCCCGAGTCGCACCGAACTCGTCGAACCCTCGTCAAGTCCGAATCTAGCACATTTGCGAACACACCTTTGTCTCGAACCACATTCTTCCCTCGTCAACTCCATTCTCGATACTTCTCCTTCTCTCTTCCTCCTCACTAGTTTCTTCCCAATTTCTCTCTCGCTTCCATTTCCATTTCTTCCTCATTTCCTCTTGCTTTCAATAAATGCAGTCAACACGCTTCCTCCACCTTCATTCGACGTATGTTTCGTGGTTTGGCGAACCACTCTAACACCCTCTGATTCGCTTTCTCCCCTTCCCTCAGTCCCCTTTCTTGCCCCCTCCTCTCCCTCCCCCGCCCGCATTTTTACCTGTGCAACCCATGTGAGCTCACGTGCCTCTTCTCACCTTGCTTACTCCCTCCTCTCTTCTCACCTTGCTTACTCCCTCCTCTCTTCTCACCTTGCTTACTCCCTCCTCTTTTCTCACCTTGCTTACTCCCTCCTCTCTTCTCACCTTGCTTACTCCCTCCTCTCTTCTCACCTTGCTTACTCCCTCCTCTCTTCTCACCTTGCTTACTCCCTCCTCTCTTCTCACCTTGCTTACTCCCTCCTCTCTTCTCACCTTGCTTACTCCCTCCTCTCTTCTCACCTTGCTTACTCCCTCCTCTCTTCTCACCTTGCTTACTCCCTCCTCTCTTCTCACCTTGCTTACTCCCTCCTCTCTTCTCACCTTGCTCACTCCCTCCTCTCTTTCTTCCCTCACCTCCACTTTCCTTCTTCACCCCTCCACCACCCTGCCGCCCCTCCCTGCATCTCCCCGCCCATCCCGAACCTCTCAACTCAACCTTCACCACTCCAGCTGGCGGGCATGAGCATGTACGGGGCGGACGAGGTGCCGGGGGGGGGCATTGTGACAGGGATAGGGCGGGTGGGCGGGCGGGTGAGTGTGATAGTGGCGAATGACGCTACAGTGAAGGGTGGCACGTACTACCCCATCACTGTGAAGAAGCACCTAAGGGCGCAGGAGATCGCTGCTCAGTGCCGCCTGCCCTGCATCTACCTCGTTGACAGGTACAGCCTGCCCTGCATCTACCTTGTTGACAGGTACAGCCTGCCCTGCATCTACCTTGTTGACAGGTACAGCCTGCCCTGAGTTCACCAGATCGTTTTCAGTTTTTCCACTCACGCAACTCACGCCATTTATGGGGAAACGTGTGGTATATAAATTTCTCTATTGTCAGCTCACCAACAAAAGTTCACCTTTTAATTCTTCAAGCTGTTCATCCAGACATTGAGGCTTGGTTCACGCTCATCATTCCCCTCATCCCACCCATCCCTCCCACCCCATCCACGGGCAGTGGAGGCGCCAACCTGCCACGGCAGGCGGACGTGTTTCCCGACCGCGACCACTTCGGCCGCATCTTCTTCAACCAGGCACGCCCCGCCCCTGCCGTCCATGCACTGCCTGCTCTCACTCGCACCACACAGTGCTTGTAATGCATATGGTGGCCCCTCCCCTCCTTGTGCCTCGCTTCAAACGCCATTTCGCCCCAACCCAAACATCACCGGCTCTCCTCTCACTCATTCTCCCATCGTCCCCTCCTCCTCTCCCAATCATCCCCTGCTCCATCCTCACTCATTTGCCCAACCCACTTTCTTCACAAACCTCCCCCCTCCTCCCCTCCCCCCCAGGCGCGCATGTCAAGGGACGGCATACCACAGATCGCGGTGGTGATGGGCAGCTGCACGGCAGGGGGCGCATATGTGCCGGCGATGGCGGACGAGAGCATCATCGTGCACCGCCAGGGCACCATCTTCCTGGGGGGACCTCCGCTCGTCAAGGTGCGCGTGTGCCGTACTCGCTTAGTCTGCCCAACAGCTATCAGAGTATCAACGTGGGTGAAGCCAGTTCCCAAGAGTCAAAACGGTTGAGCATATCCGGTGTGAATACAGGAATGCAGAGCTCTGGTGCATTCTGGCAAGCAGGAGATGCGTGCGTGAGGGTAGCCAGACGGCGTGAGGGTATTCAGACGGCGTGAGGGTAGTCAGACGGCGAGGTGCTCAAGGAAAGGAAAACGGAAGGTCCGCTTGGGCTGACTGCACACTGCACCCCCAGTGGCATCATGAGATTTCCCTGTTGCTGTGTGCTCACATGTGCACGTGTGTCTGTCTGTGTGCTTGCATGCATGCATGTGTGTGTGTGAGCGCCATGTATCACAGGCGGCGACAGGGGAGGAGGTGACAGCAGAGGCGTTGGGGGGAGGGGCGGTGCACAGCCGGGTGTCAGGGGTGACGGACCACCTTGCCCGCGGTGAGTGACGGACCACCTTTCCCGCGGTGAGTGACGGACCACCTTGCCCGCGGTGAGTGACGGACCACCTTGCCCGCGGTGAGTGACGGACCACCTTGCCCGCGGTGAGTGACGGACCACCTGGCCCGCGGTGAGTGACGGACCACCTTGCCCGCGGTGAGTGACGGACCACCTTGCCCACGGTGAGTGCCGGACCACCTTGCCCGCGGTGAGTGACGGACCACCTTGCCCGCGGTGAGTGACGGACCACCTTGCCCGCGGTGAGTGACGGACCACCTTGCCCGCGGTGAGTGACGGACCACCTTGCACGCGGTGAGTGCCGGACCACCTTGCCCGCGGTGAGTGACGGACCACCTTGCCCGCGGTGAGTGACGGACCACCTTGCCCGCGGTGAGTGACGGACCACCTTGCCCGCGGTGAGTGACGGACCACCTTGCCCGCGGTGAGTGACGGACCACCTTGCCCGCGGTGAGTGACGGACCACCTTGCCCGCGGTGAGTGACGGACCACCTTGCCCGCGGTGAGTGCCGGACCACCTTGCCCGCGGTGAGTGACGGACCACCTTGCCCGCGGTTAGTGACGGACCACCTTGCCCGCGGTGAGTGACGGACCACCTTGCCCGCTGTGAGTGACGGACCACCTTGCCCGCGGTGAGTGACGGACCACCTTGCCCGCGGTGAGTGACGGACCACCTTGCCCGCGGTGAGTGCCGGACCACCTTGCCCGCGGTGAGTGCCGGACCACCTTGCCCGCGGTCAGTGACGGACCACCTTGCCCGCGGTGAGTGCCGGACCACCTTGCCCGCGGTGAGTGACGGACCACCTTGCCCGCGGTGAGTGACGGACCACCTTGCCCGCGGTGAGTGATGGACCACCTTGCCCGCGGTGAGTGACGGACCACCTTGCCCGCGGTGAGTGACGGACCACCTTGCCCGCGGTGAGTGCCGGACCACCTTGCCCGCGGTGAGTGACGGACCACCTTGCCCGCGGTGAGTGACGGACCACCTTGCCCGCGGTGAGTGACGGACCACCTTGCCCGCTGTGAGTGACGGACCACCTTGCCCGCGGTGAGTGACGGACCACCTTGCCCGCGGTGAGTGACGGACCACCTTGCCCGCGGTGAGTGACGGACCACCTTGCCCGCGGTGAGTGACGGACCACCTTGCCCGCGGTGAGTGACGGACCACCTTGCCCGCGGTGAGTGACGGACCACCTTGCCCGCGGTGAGTGACGGACCACCTTGCCCGCGGTGAGTGCCGGACCACCTTGCCCGCGGTGAGTGACGGACCACCTTGCCCGCGGTGAGTGACGGACCACCTTGCCCGCGGTGAGTGACGGACCACCTTGCCCGCGGTGAGTGCCGGACCACCTTGCCCGCGGTGAGTGACGGACCACCTTGCCCGCGGTGAGTGACGGACCACCTCGCCCGCGGTGAGTGACGGACCACCTTGCCCGCGGTGAGTGACGGACCACCTTGCCCGCGGTGAGTGCCGGACCACCTTGCCCGCGGTGAGTGACGGACCACCTTGCCCGCGGTGAGTGACGGACCACCTTGCCCGCGGTGAGTGACGGACCACCTTGCCCGCGGTGAGTGACGGACCACCTTGCCCGCGGTGAGTGACGGACCACCTTGCCCGCGGTGAGTGCCGGACCACCTTGCCCGCGGTGAGTGACGGACCACCTTGCCCGCGGTGAGTGACGGACCACCTTGCCCGCGGTGAGTGACGGACCACCTTGCCCGCGGTGAGTGATGGACCACCTTGCCCGCGGTGAGTGCCGGACCACCTTGCCCGCGGTGAGTGACGGACCACCTTGCCCGCGGTGAGTGACGGACCACCTTGCCCACGGTGAGTGACGGACCACCTTGCCCGCTGTGAGTGACGGACCACCTTGCCCGCGGTGAGTGACGGACCACCTTGCCCGCGGTGAGTGACGGACCACCTTGCCTGCGGTGAGTGACGGACCACCTTGCCCGCGGTGAGTGACGGACCACCTTGCCCTCGGTGAGTGCCGGACCACCTTGCCCGCGGTGAGTGCCGGACCACCTTGCCCGCGGTGAGTGACGGACCACCTTGCCCGCGGTGAGTGACGGACCACCTTGCCCGCGGTGAGTGACGGACCACCTTGCCCGCGGTGAGTGACGGACCACCTTGCCCGCGGTGAGTGACGGACCACCTTGCCCGCGGTGAGTGCCGGACCACCTGGCTTGCGGTGAGTGACGGACCACCTTGCCCGCGGTGAGTGACGGACCACCTTGCCCGCGGTGAGTGCCAGACCACCTTGCCCGCGGTGAGTGACAGGTGCTTGGGTACAGACAAGCACGCAGGGCGGGGAGATGGCGGGCACGCCATCAGGGCAGGCAGGGGGGTTTGATGGCTGGGGAGGTGGGCACGCGCATGCTGACAGAACGCTGCACATCATGCCATGCCACCGTTTCACATGCACCCTCCCATGCCGCACTCCACTCCACAGGCCTGTAATCTGGTATCCATCCACCCCCTCCCTCTCCCCCCACGTACCCCAGACGAGCTGCACGCCCTGGCCATCGCCAGGCGCATTCTCGCCTCGCTGCCCTCCCCCCACCCCGCCCCCTCCTCCGCCTCACCCATTCCCCCATCGCTCCCCTCCCCCCTCTCCCCCCCGGCGTGGGAGGAGCCGCTCTTCCCCGCGGAGCAGCTGAGGGGGCTGGCGCCCATTGTAGGGGGGGAGGGGCGCAAGGGGGAGCGCGAGGGGGGGGAGGAGGAGGGGGCGGCAGAGGCGAGGGGAGTGGACATGCGGGAGGTGGTAGCGCGGATGGTGGATGGCAGCCGGTTGGATGAGTTCAAGCGCCTCTATGGCTCCGTGGGTGCATCCATGCTCGCTTTGCCCGCGCTGTGCTGTTGCATTCGCATGCCTGTGCTGAGCTCATGCAACCATCCTCCAAATGGTCAATGCTCGATGAGAAACATTCATAGGATGGGCGCACTGCTTCAATCTTTTCTCTTCAACTCAACGGTTCGCCAACCCCCCTCCCCACCCTCTCCTCCATGTGCTCCCCATTCCGCTCGGGCGGCGAGCAGTCGCTGGTGTGTGGGTTTGCGCGAGTGCAGGGGCGCGAGGTGGGGGTGGTGGCGAACAACGGCGTGCTGGTTGTGGACGCGGCGCTCAAGGGCGCGCACTTTGTGCAGCTCTGTGACCACCGCCGCATTCCGCTGCTCTTCCTGCACAACATCTCAGGCTTCATGGTGCGTTTTTGGGGCTTCATGGTGCGTTTTTGAACCTTCATGGTGGGCTGTATTTGAGGCGCCTCAAAAAAGGCGCCCACTTGGTTGGTGCGGGTGTGTGATGAGCGCCACGTGCCACTGCTCTTCTGCACACCATCTCCGCCTTCATGCTGGGCTGTGGCGCTTGCACATGGCACAGATCCCGTACGAGTCCATGTTGCATGTGAATCAACGTGGATTGTGAGTCCATGTGGCATGTGAGTCCATGTGGCATGTGAGTCCATGTGGCATGTGAGTCCATGTGGCATGTGAGTCCATGTGGCATGTGAGTCCATGTGGCATGTGAGTCCATGTGGCATGTGAGTCCATGTGGCATGTGAGTCCATGTGGCATGTGGGTTAGCACCGCTTGGCATGTCCGCATGCATTCATTCCACCCTTAAATAGACCCATTCCTCTCGTCATCACCCCTGTGCATGCAGGTGGGGCGGGCAGCAGAGAGTGCGGGCATAGCCAAGGCAGGGGCCAAGATGGTCATGGCCGTTGCATGTGCACAGGTACGCCCGTCTTAAACCCATCTGTCATGTACCATGTGTGCACAGTTACGCCTATGCCATGTGCCATGTACCATGCACGCTTTTGGTGCCTGCATCAGTGTATCCCACAGGCGACTTGGAGAGCCACTGCAGAGCGCCCCTCACATCTGCCCTCCACGCCCCTCACATCTGCCCTCCACGCCCCTCACATCTGCCCTCCACGCCCCTCGCTCTATATGCCTTCCTCCCTCCCATCCGCTTCCTCCCATGTCTCTCCCTCCCATCGGCCTCCCTCCATCTGCCCTATCCCACGCGCGCCCACCATGCGCAGGTGCCCAAGATATCGCTGGTGGTGGGCGGCAGCTTTGGGGCGGGCAACTACGGCATGTGTGGCCGCGCCTACTCGCCCAACTTCCTCTTCCTCTGGCCCTCCGCGCGCATCTCCGTCATGGGCGGCCAGCAGGTGAGGATGGGCGGCCAGCAGGTGAGGATGGGCGGCCAGCTGGTGAGGATGGGCGGCCAGCAGGTGAGTTTGGGCGGCCAGCAGGTGAGTTTGGGCGGCCAGCAGGTGAGTTTGGGCGGCCAGCAGGTGAGTTTGGGCGGCCAGCAGGTGGGGATGGGCGGCCACCAGGTGAGGATGGGCGGCCAGCTGGTGAGGATGGGCGGCCAGCAGGTGAGTTTGGGCGGCCAGCAGGTGAGTTTGGGCGGCCAGCAGGTGAGTTTGGGCGGCCAGCAGGTGAGTTTGGGCGGCCAGCAGGTGGGTCTGGGCGGCCAGCAGGTGGGTCTGGGCGGCCAGCAGGTGGGTCTGGGCGGCCAGCAGGTGAAGACGTTGAGGCAATTTATGGTGGTGACATGCCATGGCAAGGTTCTAATGCCATACCATTTCCTTGTGTTCCTCGCTTTGATGGTGCATCTCAGTACATGTTGAACACTGTTTTACCTTAAATGCGTCCTCTTCTTTTGCCATGTCACCATTCCTAAAATGGCATTCAATGGGTTGGCATGGCATTGCATGAATCCGCATGGCACAATGACAGGCGGCAGGGGTGTTGGCGCAAGTGGAGAAGGACAAGAGAGCACGTGATGGCACTCCTGTGAGTCCTGTTTCCGTCTTTTCTCCCATGCCCCCATTCCCCATGCCCCCATTCCCCATGCACCCATTCCCCATGCCCCAATCCCCATGCCCCCATTCCCCACGCCCCCATTCCCCATGCACCCATTCCCCATGCCCCATTCCCCATGCACCCATTCCCCATGCCCCCATTCCCCATGCCCCCATTCCCCATGCCCCCATTCCCCATGCCCCCATTCCCCATGCCCCCATGCCCCCATTCCCCATGCACCCATTCCCCATGCCCCCATTCTCCATGCCCCCATTCCCCATGCCCCCATTCCCCATGCCCCCATTCCCCATGCCCCCATTCCCCATGCCCCCATTCCCCATGCCCCCATTCCCCACGCCCCCATTCCCCATGCACCCGTTCCCCATGCCCCCGTTCCCCATGCCCCCATTCCCCATGCCCCCATTCCCCATGCCCCCATTCCCTATGCCCCCATGCCCCCATTCCCCATGCACCCATTCCCCATGCCCCCATTCCCCATGCCCCCATTCCCCATGCCCCCATTCCCCATGCCCCCATTCCCCATGCACCCATTCCCCATGCCCCCATTCCCCACGCCCCCATTCCCCATGCCCCCATTCCCCATGCCCCCATTCCCCACGCCCCCATTCCCCACGCCCCCATTCCCCATGCCCCCATTCCCCACGCCCCCATTCCACATGCACCCGTTCCCCATGCACCCATTCCCCATGCCCCCATTCCCCATGCACCCATTCCCCATGCACCATCGCGATATAGTAGGGCACAGCGGTGGCACGGCCAGAATGCTGGTGGAGGCTTTGGCATTAGCGAGGCCATGTATCATGAGTTGCTCGGCGCCGGAGTAGATGCGAGTACACTTGGCAATCATTGCTGGGATCAGCGCGAAGCGCTGGTGTATATTGAACATGCTCCATGGCTTATTCGTCGGCCCCATCCGCCTATGCACCCATCCTCTCACGCACCCATCCTCCCATCCTCCAGCATCCAATGCCTGGAAACAATATCATGCAATCTCACGCTCTGCACTACTCAAGCCTGCCTGTCCCTGTGCCCTCTCCCCTCTCTGCCTTCTCCCTCGCACCACAGTGGGGCGAGGAGGAGGAGAGGGCGTTCAAGCAGGGCATAGCACAGCGGTATGACAGCGAGGGCTCAGCATTCTTCTCCACGGCGCGGCTGTGGGACGACGGCATCATCGACCCCGCTCACACACGCACCGTGCTCTCCCTCGCCCTCGCCGCCACTCAAGCTGGCATGCCCGCTGCTCTCGCCGCTGCCGACACTGGCCCCAGATATGGAGTGTTCCGCATGTGATGGAGGGACGGCTGCACACCGTGCTTCGCGTGGTGGTGACGCGTGGCTTGCTGCTTTGTTACCTCCTAGTGTACACTTGAAGGCGATGGGGATTTGCTGTGGCTCATTTGCCACAGCTGGGTGTTGCCAGATACAGTGTGCATGATTCAGAACCTTGTGTATATATGTATGTGTGTATATAATGTCTTTGATCTGATCTGAATATCTTTATTGTGTCCATACAGGCACCACCCATCCCGGTTTATGCATTTCACATACCGGTAGTTGCTTGCTAAGCATGTGCTGGAAGTATGCTGGTACTCCCTCTACATCAGCTGCCAGTTACTTACGGGTACCTACATACATTGGTACATGCCTACCTACAAGGGCTGTGGGAATTGGACCTGGCACATGGGCTTGCGGGTGGGAGTCTCTCAACCAACCTGATCTCACATTACATTACACTATTCTCATCGCAACAACACAAAAGGGCAACATCAGTCTATGGTACATGCTCTACAGTTCAGCACATTACATACCCTTCCTCCAATCAATACATACAGCACCTACCAGTGATATTAACCCACTCCACTTTGACGTGTCACTCACAATGCACATGGGTCTCACTCTGCACTCAACAGGTGAGGGATATATGCCTGCCCTATCTCTGCCCACCTTGCTTCCTTTCAGGTGCTCTCCTGTCAGTCAGTCATCAGTGAAACTCTCTGGTTCTACTATGTGCATTTCGTTCCGCACCTTACTGCCTCACATCCACATCTCAGCTCCCTGCTGCATCACTCCCTCTGCTCCACGGCGGTGCCCAGCCTGACAGGATTCGCCAAGAGGAGGCAAACATCAGGATGCACAACTTGCCCTGGCTTAGCTACAGCCACCCATCCCTCTTTGACTCCCTTCCCCTTCCTGCTTCCCCCCTAATGTTCCACCAACACCCTATCTACCAAAGCACTTTGCACCCATGCGGCTCTCCTCCCCTCAGCAGCAGCCGGGCTGGGGGCACCCCGCAGGCAAGGGCAGGCGCAGGTTGCAGGAGGTGCGGAAGGTGCGAGGAACCATCCTGTCGACGTAGATTAGCCCTGCCAGATGGTCGCACTCGTGCTGGTGGTGGCGTGGAACAGCCACAGCAGATAGAAGTGTGTGGGGCATGTTGATGCAAGGGCGGGTTGGGACGAGAGGGCAGAAGGGTGATGAGGGCAGAAGGGTGATGAGGGCAGCATTCCGCACTTGTTAACAGGGCAGTGAGCTTCATACCGAAGAAGCGCAAGGCCGCACGACAGGAGTCTGGTAGCTGACTGAACGTCGCAATGGTATCAGGTCCAGCATCGGACTATCCGCATTGTTCAGAGTTACATCGCATTGCTGCCTTTTCCAGAGCAGAAGGTGCGGCACTCCACTGACCTGCAGGATCCTGGCCTGCCAGCCTCTGGCGTGCACCGTGATGGGCTTGCCGTCCCTTGCCAGCCCTGACACCTCCACCTCTCTGTACCGCTCCACCATGCCCCTGTACCCATTCACACTGCCGTACACACAAAAGGTGGTGGGACAGGCGAGAGGAAAGGGGTCGTGGGGAGATGGTTGAGACTTGACTTGCTGACGGCATTGAGGCGCCCGTGCCAGCCGATTGCACTGCAGCAGCAGCAGGAGAGAGAGATGTGGCTGGCCTGAAGGGTTTATTTGTGAAGAGAAGGAAGAGCGAGGTTGGTGAGTGTGGCGTTGCGAGTCAAGTGAGAGATGGCGGACTCCCGGGAGTTCACAGCGCAGCAACAACAGAGGTGAACGGGCCAAGCCAGACATTCAATGGACCACCAATGTGAAACATAATGTGACAAGACGAAATGTGAAGAGAGGGATTGATGGGAGTGTGGGGGATTGACTAAGGGTGAAAAGTGGTCCCAAGGACAGGCAACAGTGGGTTGGACAAAGAGCAAAGTGATGGCACTAATCAAAAGGGCTGGGCGTGCATGATGGTCCCAGGTTAATGATTTGTGAAGAGAGAATCGTGATGGCGGAGGAGAGAAAGGCGCAAGGGTAGAGAGTGGAGAGCGAGAAGGAGAGACAATTGGCGATCGGCAAGAAGGCGAGAGGATGATGGTGGACGCAGTGAGAGTGCAGACTGCAAGTGAGCATTGCCGGTGCTGTGGGGGCGCGGGAAAGGGAGGGAGCGAGGGAGGGCGGGAGGGAGGGAGGGAGGGAGGGAGGGAGGGAGGGAGGGAGGGAGGGAGGGAGGGAGGGAGGGAGGGAGGGAGGGAGGGAGGGAGGGAGGGAGGGAGGGAGGGAGGGAGGGAGGGAGGGAGGGAGGGAGGGAGGGAGGGAGGGAGGGAGGGAGGGAGGGAGGGAGGGAGGGAGGGAGGGAGGGAGGGAGGGAGGGAGGGAGGGAGGGAGCGAGGGGGAGAGAGGGAGGGAGGGAGGGAGGGAGGGAGAGGGAGGGCGGGAGGGAGGGAGGGAGGGCGGGAGCGGCAAGGGCACCTGAGGCAGCCTTCAAAGAAGCGAGCCTTGGTGTCGCCCAGGGGCTTGAGCACAGGGTTGATTATCACCTGCATGCATTGGCGCGCAGTGCAGCAGCAAGAGGTGGACAGACGGTGGGGAGAGTAATGGCATGGCGCCAAGAAGAGAATTGAACACACATTGATGTGGAGAGGCGGCAATGCAGCCCGACAGAGACAGGCAGACTTGATGAAAAGAGGCAGGCATTTGAGCGGAGTGGAGTGGAGTGGACAGCACGGAGTGGGCCTTGGTTCAACGCACTCAATGCGCTCTAGTTGATTCCCTTATAATTAGAGCATAATTCATGCGAGTCCAGTTGGTCGTTCTTTCATTCAATCCTTCATTCTGTTAATTCACTGACTCAACACCCACTCACTCAAGCACGGATTCCGCGCATACCAGCAGGTTGAAGGGTTGGCGCTCCTGCTGCTTCACTTCCTCGGGGTCGCACGCCTTCATGAGCTCCACCGTGTCCTCCAGCACGATGATCTGCGCGCCACACGCACACAGTGAAAGGCCAAGAGTAGCCGTGAGCGTACAGGGGGGACAGGCGGGGCGCACAGGGTGGCGGTAAGAGGTGCCTTGGCGGTGGGGGGAAGGCCTTCAAACTTCCCGGGACCCTTCCTGCCGTAGCTGTCCGTTTCATTCCCTTGACTGTTCTTTATGGACGGTGAAATCCACCGCCATACCTGCAGTGCCCGTACCTGTAGTGGGTGGCCGATTTGGTTGGCTGCGAGGCCGACACCTGGCGCGGCGCGCATGACTGCCACCATGTCGTTGATGATCTTCTCTATCTCTGGACTGCCAATGTCCTGATGCCACGTGGCACGGAGGTGGATTAGCGAACGGGTTGGAACGAGGGAGAAGACGGGAAAGAGGAGAGAGTGCACGGTAAACGGGCAAGGGAAATCGTTAATGTGAAGCAGGAGATGTCTCGACCGGAAATGGCGGCATTGTCACGCGGCGGGTAGAAGGAGTGTTTACATGCGGCGGCTCAAATGCTGTCCTATATATTGGAAATGTTGAGATCACATTATGACGGGTCGGGGAGTAAAATGAGCCACGACGACGCGAATGTACGAGGCACACTGGCTGTGGGCGCTTGAGGCTCATGAGTTCACAGGCACCCACTCCCCACGCACTTGCCGGAATCACTCAACCACAAGGGCACTCCGCACCACTGTCACCGTGGCGGGCACTCACCGTGGCGGGCACGGGGCGCGCGGGCTCGTGCAGCACGGGGTCGCCCGCCTCCACCACGTCGGGCAGCGCCGGCTTGCCGAAGTTGAAGAACGCGCGCGCCGCCACTCCTTGGGAGTCCCCCAGCGACTCGCCGCGCGACGGCGGCGTGCCGGCTATGCGCGAGGTGGGCGTGGAGGAGAACTGCGACACGTCGCGCAGGTGCGGCGCGAAGTCCATTTTTTCTGTCGACGACACCCGCACCATGCGCGCCGCGCCGCTTGCTGGCGGGCAGCTGATTGGCTGCGATGCTGTCGCCATGACGACTCGACGACGGAAAAGACTCGTTCGGCCTCGTACGAGCTGCTGTAGAGGAGAATGCCCTAAATGTAATGTGCGATGAAATGAAGACGCGGAGAGACAATTCGGTGCTAGGGAACGGGAGCACGCGTTCATTTCAAGAAGCAGAACAACACAAACTAAAATGTGCAGCGAGACGGCTGACTGAATCTACTGGCAGCGATTGAGGAAGCAGAGAGACAGCAGGCAAATAGGAGAAACAGAATTGCGATGGTGTCATGAGAGGAATCTAGATTCTAGATGCACCACCCAATGCCAGGTTCCGGTTGGAAATTACGAATGGGACAACATCAGCTGCAATCCAATTAGGCCAGCGCGGTTCGCAAATGCGATCCCTAACAGTCCGCCTGGAAGAAGCTGATGGGTCGCAATCTGCCCGCGGTCCGGGAAAAATAAACCCCATCTGGATGGCATGCGATTAGGGGAGCCCCAACCCTAAACACGGGGAGCCCCAACCCTAAACACGGGCAGCCGCATGGTTCTGCCCGAAAAGATTGCATTCGCAAACCCGCACTGGGAAAATTGTCCGCTCGTGAATTGTCCACCTTGATCTATTCGCTGCCTCACACGGCATGCCATCTGAGCTGGAGTGGGGACCACTAACGAAGGCAGGTTGGATTCGCAGATGACGTGGTGAGAGAAAATTTTCCCTTCGCTCCAACCAATGAGAGAACACGTAGTGGATCGCTCTACTCCTTCCGTTGATGATTTGGCAGGTTAGGGCGCGGTGCATTTGATGCATTTTGACTGAAGTTCGAACTTTTCACCGTGATTAAAAACTTGTTCAACGTATCTAACCAAGTAAAACCTTTCTGCAAGTTCGAATCAGTGTAGAAGTTCGACTCTAATGCACCGCGCCTTAGAGCGTGTTACGTACCCCTTATTTTGGTGGTAGGGCCCGGTTGCCTCCAAAAGTCGACCCAACCTGACTGGTCGGGTCGACCAGGCTGCAAATTTGGCCGGTTGGGTACCCAGCAGGC